ATGAAACTAAGGAAAATGGCAGTTGGTGAATTTGAACGAATGCTGCGCTTGTAGCTCCACAATGTTCTTAATTGGGCATGGATTGAGTAGTCGTCTGATTATGGCAAAACAAGCAAGGATTATGTGATTTGGAAAGAATTTCCTCAGATAGGTTTGTAATCACGTTACTTATAAGAAAAAACCTTCGCATTAACTTTTGAGCCTTAAATTCTGCTTCACTTGCATATTTAAATGGAAATATAGCGAAAGCAATTTTTTATGAATCAATAACACGAAACATGCTTTATTAGGCAAAACTTAATCGCATATTAAACGCTATACTATAAGGTATTTTCTCCCTCCTTTCTGCATGCCTTCGTGGTATAACGATTAGCACAGTCGGCGCGTATTCGAGAGGTCCAGATTCTAGTCCCGGCGAGAGCATTGCTCAATTTCCAGTTTCCTAACATCGAAAATAAGCTAATGACTACAGTGGCGTCCAAACTAAAACGTGGTGGATGATGATTCTTCATTACCAGGATTTGGTGATTGGGTCCCCTAATCCAATGTCGCGCTTTAAAATGGAATTTTGGCTAATCTTTGGAATATGGTAACAGGTAGTTTGGCGACATTTTGGTAAGGTGATAAAGGTTACTAGGTAGGACTTTAGCAATAATCTGAGAAGTACAATTCGAATCACAGATTATTTTGTCTCAGAGAAATGAGAGATCATGAGACATGCCATGTGACATTTTCCGGAAATTCCGATCGTGAGTTTAGCTAATAAGCACTTAGAAACAATTTCGCTGCTCAAGTGCAGAATCGCCCATTTATTTGTTTGGCGCTTTCTACAAGAGTAAGAAGAATTGGATTTTTGTCAATTTTCTTTGATTTTTTAAGTGAAAACAGGTCGATGTCTACATGGACAAAGTCAAGCGTGTGCGCAGTGCCATTTTTGTGCAATTCTGGGATTTTTTTTTTAAGTGAAAATAGGTCGACGTGTACATGGATACCGCGTATGTGCAATTCTTAAAAACGCGCGAAGCAGTGGGCGATTCTGCACTTTCCCTCAATTTCGCACCTAATCTTCGTCATGATTAAGCGCTTTTGTTCCATAAAAGTTCTAGCATAAGCGTAATTCGGCTAGCAGTTTGTTGGAAAAAATGTTGAGTAAAAAAAAAAAAAAAAACCATGCCTTTACTTCGGAAAAACAAAATGGCGTCCAAAAAAAAAAAAAAAAAAAAAAAAAACCATGCCTTTACTTCGTAAAAACAAAATGGCGTCCCAAAAAAAAGAAAAAAAACCTGGCAGGTTGCTGTAGCAGGGTTGGTCGCCAAATTTTCGCCAAAAAACCGCCAAGTTACCATAATCCAAAGATTCGCCGGGATTTTTCTCCCTTTTTTCTGCTGCATGCCTTCGTGATGTAACGGTTAGCACATTTGGCGCGTATTCGAGAGATCCAGGTTCAAGTCCCGACGACGGCATTTTTCATTTTTTCTGCTTCAAAAATCCTAATAACTCTACAATACTTTAAAAAAGAAAGAGAGAGAGGAACCTTAAATTTACAGAACAAACGTATATTTGTGTATGAGCACATATAAATAACACTGTAAAAAAGTGTATTTCGTAGAGAGATGTTGAAGCATACATAGAAGATCTATAATGAATATTCACTTTGTAACCGAGACAGATATAATGAGAAGTAGATTTGATATTCATTTTTATTTAAATTAAACATTGCGGCCACAAATAACTTGGCACATTAATTGTGCGCATTCCAGAACATTTAGATTTTGGGGATCTTTCCGGTAATTAGATAAGCGGTAAAGCACACTCTACTTAAGCCATACCTATCCAATAATAAACCATCTGTTTACCAGAAGAATTTTGGTTGGATATTTTGACTTCCAACCAAAGTTCGGAATTAGCTATGCCATCTTCGTTATGTAAAGGATGGAAAGTATTAAAATTAAAATGAAGAATTAAGTGGTATTCCAAAATTTAAATTATAATTTTGATTTACGTATCTGTATCTTACATATTTGTAGATGTGTGTATGTTATATACACACACACATGCATTCATTTACTCTGTAAATTATCACCATAAAAATTATTCCATCGTACTGAAAGTAAAGCATAAATTACATTTAAAACGACTGATATAGATTTGAAAATTAAAATACTGATTTCAAGGGTGGTCTGAGATTCTTCTTCTTCAGGAGCGGGGGGGGGGGAATGGGCTACAGAAGAACAGATGGCCATAGGCCTAAGCCAGATCGCCATTCACATCGATTTTACTTAAAATCTACGCCAAACTAATGTTACTAGTCATTTTGCATAAATTAAAATTTTAGATTGGATGATCCTCTTCCGGTTTTATAGCATACATTTATTAAAATTACACTTAATTCATAATTTTATCATAAATTATTTTTATCATATCATTTTTATCATCTTATAAATTACACACATTCATAATTTTTATCTATATATTTTTCGTAAGTAATACTTCGAATTTTATTCTAAGTATACTTCAGTACATTAACATTTTTTATGAATACTGGAAAATATATTTCGCATTTTATAAACAATTTTTTAAATTCAAGAAATATTTTTGTCTCGCCAAAAACCATTTTCGAAGCATTTTCTATCTGAAGTCTTCGAGAATCTTTCAATTTACTTGGGTGAGCCAAGAGAGAACTAGTTTCCTTTTTCACTTTCATTTTTTTCATTTCTTCATTCTCTCACTTTCATTTCAAATTAGGAGAAACTGCAACAGTGATTGCGTTTCCATGCGTAATAATGACTCCAGAGTAACATCATCGCTATGTACTTCACTGAATTCCTTATTTTTCAAAGCAGCAATGCGTACAAAATGAATTAATTACGCCACTTTTCAAAACATTCTGCAACAATTTGAAATGATTTTCTTCCACGAATTAATTTCGCTACTCATAAATTTAGTTGAACAGTCAGCAAACGGTTATTTTATAGTAATTTGCGCTAATTTCAAATCTATAGATTAGAAAGAACTGCAGTGAAAAACATAAATGCGCTCCTTGTTAGTGGGCGTGGCTTTCTTCTTTCCTACATTTTTGTAATCATTACGTTTCTCTCTCATGAAGACGATTACACCAGGCCCTGCTTCTTAAGAAAGAGCCAAAATTATTAATATTTCAGCTGTTTTCAGCCAAAACCGTATGGAACTGAGAAAGTGGAAAATGGCGGTACTTCAAGGGAACGATCACTGAAGAAGACGAAGGAAGCGAGAGCAAAAATCTGGAAGTCATCGACTTCCCCCGTGTCATTTACTTTCGTCGCAGATGCAATCCGAGTTACGGTAGATGACTCACAAATCTGTTTGTTTTCCCGTGTCTGGCTTTTACGCAAATTTCCCGCACGAGATGAAGCTGTTAAAAAAGCACTTCAGCCCTCATCATTAACAGTATAATGTTCTTTTTTCTGCATCGTGCAGACAACATTTCCTTTTCAAACAGATATTTTTTTAATACTTTTAAATAACCATATAAAGGTCTTTATAAATCTCAAACTAAATTTACGGAAATAGGCAATAAATCTAAATGAAAATAATAACGCGTTATTCTGCAAAATACAAAAGTGGTATAAAGCTAAATAATATTTTTCAATCCACAACATTTCAGTGAATGAACAGTTCAAAATCATATTTTAAGTAAAAAAATATATGCCTCTTCAAGTTATACACCAACAGCTTCATTTAAAAAATATATATATTTTGTTATAGTTCAATTACTAGATTAATAACATTTATTTTTTGCTGCCCAGAACTTTAAAAAAAATATATTTTAAGACAACCTTATGAAATCTTTTAAAATATAATGCTAGTTTTTAATAAAAGTTTACTAATATTAATTCTAAAATTAAGTACAGAAATGTTATTTCCTTTTCTCCCAAAAAGAAATCATAAAATATTTAATCCAAAAAATTTAGAATCTCTCAGTTAAATCTATAAATTATATGCATTTTCATTAAAACTGCACCTACTTTTTGCCAACCAGAAATACACAAAATTTTATAAATAGGAATACATAAATATGAAATATTTGACTATGAGCACTAGATTTCCCCATCTGACTGCTGATGAGACAGCCAATAAGATAAACTACAGTTCAAATATTCATAATTTAATATTCAAATTATCGCATTTGAGAGGCATTATTTAATATTGCCTTCGCAAATATGAAGCAATCTGCTTGTTTTGGGAGTATAGTTTGGGTTTGTAAGCTCTCCATAAAGTACGAGCTAATTATATTTTGTTAGATGCGTGAAATAAGACACTTTGCTCCTTACTTGAAAAAACAGTCCATTTTTCATCAAAATATAAAGTACCTTCTTTTTAAATAAAACATTTAAATTCCTTCAGATTCATCATCATGAATAATTTGACATAATTATTAGGAAAAATTTAAGCTAAAATTATTTATTAATAATTAAGAATTTGGAATATCAGCAATTGAAAATAAAAAAAATCACTACTACTAAACAAAAGCATTATTTTAATTATTTAGCTAAAGGCTTTACATAAATTTTCACACCTTAACTAGTAAGCATAATTATGTGTTACACAGCATCTATAAAGAAAAAAAATCCACTCCAGATTTATATTAAAATATATTCCTTTTTTGGTAAATTAAATAAATTTTAAAAACTCCCCAAAAGTTTTGCACAATATCCGTATTAAAAATCGGCTAGGAGAAAAATTATATGAATAATAATAAACCGAAAAATGAAAATATGTTTAGCGAACTTAAAAGCAAAAGTAAGTATACTAATGAAATGAAACGCAATTATATAAAACTAAATGTGCTTAGAATGATCTTTTGATCAATAATACTAATGAAATGAAACGCAATTATATAAAACTAAATGTGCTTAGAATGATCTTTTGATCAATAACTAGTTAGATACATGGTTAATAAAATCTATGCAAATCATGGATGCTGCGTTTTCCACATCATCCTGCTTTAAAGATGGACTTACCCATAGCTTTCATAAATTCATCGAAATTTTCGCTGCTGACTAACTTGTATTTTCCGCACAACTCTGTCATTATGGAAGAACTTAGAATGTATGATGAATACTTGTAATATTCGAGTAGTGCTGATAGAAATTCTACAATTTCCGCTCGACTGTTTTCTTACTGATCACTTCAAACTTCCCTACCGGCGAAACTGAACCGTGTCTTCCCCTTCAGGCAGCTTAACGTCAGACCACCCAATACGCATGCGCTATAGCTTATTCTCATCGAAAATGTTATTTAATTTATAGTAAAATCTCGCTATGCATCCATACTATTAATTTTTCTATAATTTAGTGAGCTTAAGAACACACGCAGGTTATTTTATTTAAATATTTTTGATTTTTAAATAATGTTCGAATTGACATGTCAGTGAGATCTGCGCATGTGCTGCTCGGGAGTACTTCCCTTCCTTTGCCCAATTGGAAAGAAGTCTGAAAAACGCAAAAACATGGCTGGAGGAATCTTAAAAATGCGCACCTTGCTGCCATCTGGTGAATGATGCCGACGATTCCGAGCAAATAATAAAGATTATTATATTTCCCACGTCTGGGGGTGGGGAAAACAGGGGTAGAAAGTGAATAGTTATCAAGAACTGGTATCCTTGCAGTGTGAAACGTGGAAGGTAAGGCCGGATACCCCATGCACCCTGTATAACGCCGTTATACAATCAAGATCCATCGAAAAAATTCCGAATGATGTTCAGAAGAATTTTTAAAACAGAGGAATTATGATGATTCTGTGTAATACGAAACGAATTTTGTAAGATAAACTAGCAAAAAATTCTACAAATATTTCGCATCTCGTTTTAAAAAACGTACAGGTTTTAAACAGAGACAACTTCTCTTGTGTTAATTATAGTAATAATATGAATATTGGTAAATTTAACTAATCTTCACGAAATATTAATACATTGTTTGCAGTGCAAAAATAATGACATGAAATCATTTAAATGTCCTGTTAATGATCTTGACTCCTTCTAAATGATCAAAATATTTTAAAGAAATTCAGCTGTTTTTAAATGGCACATTTCGTTTTACACTGGTAAAAAACGCACTATTATAAACTGGAAGGCGAGTCTTTCCTTTTCTTCCTCCTTTTTTTCCCTCTGTTCTCTTTTTGACGTGATACAATTTTCGTCGCTAATTAAAACATCTCTGTCACATGATATAAAGAATAGCTTATATATGTTTATTAGACTTTTTAAATTATTATTTTTTAATTTTATTATTATTTCATTACTCGCTGATCTATACAAACAAACCAAGTAACTCGTTGTTAGTATTTATGTTCTAAAAGTTGATCTCAATACACGCACGAGAAAAAGTAAGGGTGATGAGATAATTAAATATTTCCTAATAATAGAAGTTTAGGTATTTAAGTAGAAAATTTCTCACTCTAAATTAGAATAAAGTCTGCTTGAAATTGACTTTAAACAAAAATGTTTTTGCTCATTCCCCTAAATATAATATAAAAAATTAAGCACTTAATATTCTCTACGTTATTAATTATCTCTCAGGAAGCAATTCCAGAATTTTTTTAAATATATTTTTTTTCTCTTCGATTTCGTTCAAAATTTAAATTTTGAACTATATCACAAAATATTTTTTCTGACGCCTATTGGATAATAGGAGTTTTAACGTATACGGATAATAGGGGTAATAAGGATAATAGGATCCTCTAATGCGGTTAGTAGGGGTTTTAACGTATTCGTATTCTGAACTCAGAATAACCGAAAATTGAATAACTTTGGCTATAATGCACTGTACTTCTCCCTCAATTAACTAAGAAAATTTGATATGCAGGCTGGAGAAAAAAAAAAAAAAAAAAAAAAAAAAAAAAAAAAAAAAAAAAAACCTAGCCATACTATGTTTTGCAGAAATAGATGCTGAGAAAGCGAGACCGGATAAATTTGAGACTATGATAATAACTAATTAAATTGGATACGAGACAAAAATATAAGACTAAATTCCCTATTAGAACGGTATCGTGAAAAAGTATTCTGTAAAATTAAATTAAACTTCTCTGCTTTTTGTCTATTAAAATTTTAATTTAAAAACCTAAATGGAAGATACATTCTCAACGAAAATAATTGAGGTTTGGTTAATTAATGCAAAATATGAATGGGATATCTACCTTAAGTGGGACATAATCGTACAAAACTTTCTGCCCCATCAGTAGTAGAGAGGTAATATCGCTTAACATTGGTAGTTCGACCCGGGTTCAAATCCCCGTCTGGAAGTCTTCATAGTTTTCCCCATGTGTAACAGGGATATTAGCCACCTTTCCTTAGATTGCAATTCCACAAACCCATCTCTTCTCTTAAGCAGATAGTCCTCGCGTACTTTGATGTAGCCAAATAGGCCAATCCAATCCGGAACTTTCTGGATGAAAGCGGATCGAATCGCTTAAAATTGGTAGTTCGACCTATTGCCTTTCCCTTTGCGTGTGCTCATTCTGTAAACGGTACCATTTTGTAAACAGTCACCAAAAAATCTGAAACTCTAAAACCCTCCTGAAGAGTTGGTTTTTCATATTCCCTGTTCCGAAATGTCTAATGCTCTCTACACAAATGAGGGGGGTAGCTATTAAAACTCTATACAGCTAATTCGTTTCAGTTAACAGGTTCTAAATCCAAGACCAGAACCGATGGGGCCAGAGCCGTACCGGTTCTGATCCTTGGATAAGCTGGACCTAGCCAGAGCTGGGCAATAACTAGGTATCAAAACATCAGAATTTTTTTACGATAAACTTTATCTCTTTTGATTCAAAAATCGGCATTTAAATCTGTGAAATATAACTCCAGATATTTCGCAATGAATAATTTAAAAACATTGAATTAATCTGGAGGAAAACTTTATGTCCTGTAATCAGGTTCAGTGTTTCTCCTTACTTGCTTTGGGAACATTCAAAAACCTGACTCGGAACAGGGAGCTTACTAAAGCTATGTTCAATAAATGTGGGAAGTAGACAAGATACCAGGAAGGGATACGAAAACCCTTTATTTTTTCATCTTTACAATGAATTTCCGGACTTCGGAATACAGAGGACCAACCACTTGTGGTCTGAACGTAAGAATATAAAAATATTAACTAACTCTAACTTAACTTGGAATAACAAACAAGGGCCTCCGAGAAGATTGGCCGTATATTAACAAGCCGTATGTAGTACAGAGAACTGTTAACACTACAATACGTTTAAATTATCAGAGGATTAAGCCTCTGGCCTGGAAGGCAACCAGCAACCGAGTAAAACTGCTAAGGCAAGCGGCCTGCTTCTACTAACTCCTTCCTCTTCGCTTGCTTGGCAAAAAGCCACAACTTAAGTACGTGGCGTTCGCCAGACAAATTTGCATAAATAAGCTTTTAATTCTGGCCGGAAGTATAAAATAAGAAGTGATAGTAAAGATTTAAAATAAAATAAACGTTAATAAAACTTCTAAGTAAACTAAGATCCTTACACTGTTTTTAGAAAGATAAAATTTCAAGACATTACTCTTAAAATAGGATGTTCCAGCATTTGTATCATCTCTAATAAGGATTTTTTTTTTCCCACAGAGCCTATTATTATAACAGAAGACGACTGGCAGTTTATCCGCACAAAAATTTAAAAAAAAAAAAAAAAAAAAAAAAAAAAAACGTAATTGAAAATAAACAACTGATTTTAAAATAACACATATAGCATTCATCTTCTCGTTTAAAAAAAAAATGGCATTATTTGTTATTTACATAAAGTTAAATAGATAAAATGCATCCGATTTTGATGGGCAAATAAGGAAAACTGTGTAGAAGAAAGAACTGCATTCAAGAGTCCTCAAAACAAATCAGTTTCTGCCTTCTTTGAAAGGATTTTTTCCTTCTTGTCTTCTTTTTTAACATCTGCCGATAAGCGCGGAAGAAAAAAAGCAATAAAAACCATCTTCACACAGTGCTTGCTGCTAATGACAGGTATGATCAGAAACAGGAAAGCACGAAAATGTCAGAAATGTAGAAGACGACACGGTTCAAGAAGCGAAAATTGACCCGTGGCGTGAGTGGATTCAGTTTGTAGGGTTCAAAGCAATGGTTTTAAAAGAATGAAATATTTTGCTAGTAAAGTGCCTGTATGAGATATTATAAATTAGAAAAGAGTGAAATTTTATTTACTCTTGGCTATGAACGGAAATCAAGAAGTTTTGATCTTTTGATAAATTCAGTGGATTTTTTTATTCTCTTTTGTTATTTTTTTTAGCAGCTTTTATAGTATAGAAGTACGCATTCGTTTTAAACTCATGAAATGGATCACATATTTCTGTTATTAAATAAAGAAGAACCCCATACATGTATACACGCGTGTGTGTATATGTATGCATGTATGTATTTTCCTCGAACTACGGAAAAACAGCGGCAGTTACAGTCACCAAATTTTGAACGCAAATAGTCCGCCACCAGCACCTGTACGCATAGAAGTTGAATTTTTAATGTGTTCTTTATTTGTTTCATGTTTTGAGTGAATTCAATGAATTTTTATTTAATAAACTCAGTGATTTAAAATTAATGTGTTTGCACTGTTCGAAATAAAAGATTTTTTCAAACTTCTGCGCGCCAGTGTGTTAAAATTCGCAAAGTGTATGATACTTATTTTTCAAATTTACTCAACAGTCTCGACTATTCAAGCACAATGTGTTGCCACTTCCGGAAATAATATGCTTTTAAATTCCAGCGCTAGCGTGTTGCCATTCGGCAAAGAGTAAAATATTTAACTTTTCAGTTTAATATTTCTTCATGAAATTTTGTTTATTATAATTTATTTCTATTTGGTTCTTATTACAATTTATTCATCAACAAACTAGGCAGTTTAAAAGCAGCAAACTTAAAAATAAAAATATTTTTTAAAGTATTCTTAAAAATATTTTTTAAACTTTTTAATCTGGCTAATTTAATTAAAAGTTAATTTTATTCATGATACGTCTATTTCGTACATATAATCTATATGGTTCGTATCATCTACAAGGTACTGATACTATACTGAGTTACTTCCAGTCTAGATTTAAATCCGAAATTTAGGCCTATGAGATAAAACAAAATATGTAATGGGCTAACAATTTGGAAACTTAAATGTTGAAAATATTTGTGTTATGTTCTGCTGCCCAGTGTATCAAGCCTTATTCATTTAGTGAATCAAGGAAT